CCACTTCAGCCTCCCCGAATACTGGGACTACGAGCATGAGCCACCACACCTGGCTTTATTTTTCCCTTTTTACACAAAGACATTTTCTTTCTTTTCTTCTTCTTCTTTTATTTTTTTTTTGGAGACAGAGCCTCACTTTGTTGTCCAGGCTAGAGTGAGTGCCATGGCATCAGCCTAGCTCACAGCAACCTCAATTTCCTGGACTCAAGCGATCCTCCTGCCTCAGCCTCCCGAGTAGCTGGGCCTACAGGCATGCAGCATCATGCTTGGCTAATATTTTGTATATATATATATTTTTAGTTGGTCAATTAATTTCTTTCTATTTTTAGTAGAGACGGGTTCTCGCTCAGGCTGGTTTCGAACTCCTGACCTTGAGGAATCTGCCTGCCTCAACCTCCCAGAGTGCTAGGATTACAGATGTGAGCCACCACACCCAGCCCAAAAGCATTTTCTTGACAATACTTTCCACATGAACTTCTTGGATGCGTTCTCTGTTCAGCAGAGGTGTGGTGGCAGGTGAGGCAGAGCAGGCACGAGGACTTGACTGCCTGGCCTGTTCCACCCCACACCTGTGCATCTGGAGAAGGCAGCCTAAGCACTTTGATCATGAGGATTTCGATCAGTTTTATGTCTGTAATCCCCCATGCACTCTCTCGTACTCATTTTATTTTCCTATTGATTGGTAACATTGTCTTTTTCCAAAGATAATACCTGCACACTCCAGGTCCTCGCTATTGGGACATATTTCTTTACTCTCTGACATGTCTGTGTTTGATTTTTTAGTATATATCTAAGATCGAGAAGGGAATATGGAGAAATAAGGTGAATTAAGATAGTAGAGGCTGGGTGCAGTGGCTCAAGCCTGTAATGACAGCTGAGGTGGGTGGATCGCTTTCGCCCAGGAGTCTGAGGTTACAGTGAGCTGTGATTGCACCACTGCTCTTTAGCCTGAGTGACAGAGCAAGACCCTGTTTCAAAAAAAAAAAAAATGTAACAAACCGTAGCTCTACTTAGAGTCCTGCTATACTTAACACACTTTAAAAACTACTCGTCAGGTCCTTCACGACTGCTTCTAAAGCGTCTGTTTTCCTTTTCACTAATCCCTGCCAGATCTTACCTATGCTTTGGCTCGTGTTCCCAGAGAGGAAGATCACTGGCGCTTTATATCAATTCTGCAAACTGTCACCTGTTTTTAAGAAACTCCTCCTATGCCCAGTGCCGACGTGTCACACTTCTGGGACTTTTCTGTATCACAGCTAAAAGATGTGATTTTAGCAGAATCAAGCCTACATGTGGCAATCCTGAAGAGAATACTTTGACAGCGGACGCCTCAGAGCTGATCCCGGCCTCCACGCAGCCAGTTGGTCGAGACACGCTGCTCATGAGCTTCCTTCTCTGTAAATT